TTTGTCTTCCCAAGTGACCGTGATGCGTGATGGAGCTCTGCTTTCCTGGGGATGGCTGAACACCTGCCTGCCCACGGGAAGCAGTGAGTGAATTCCTTGTTTTGCTTTGCTTCCGCACACAGATTTTGCTTTACCTATTCAACTGTCTCTATCTCAACCCACGAGTTTTCTCACTTTTACCCTTTCGACTCTCTGCCCCATCCCACTGCAGGGGAGTGAGCGAGCGGCTGCGTGGTGCTGAGGTGCCTGGCTGAGGCTGGGGTTATACCATGACACTTGGCCTGTCACTACAGATGATGCTCACCAAGAAAATCAGGAAAAGGCATTGTTCAGTGCACTGCTGATCTCAAATGAACGCATTTGTTTTGACTTTTAATCAGTGTTTTGAGTATTTGACTAGCACTATATTTCATGTTTATTGTGCCTCATAAAAAGGCACCACTGTCTTCTGGTCACTCAATTTGATTATACAAACCAGCTCACATTAATGACACAATGGACACAATCAAGCATTTGTAGAGTCAAGTCTAAAAAACAGGAATTATATGAGGTAAATAATACCAATTTCAGAAATAGTATTTTTCCAGTTCCTCTAGAGATAATATTAGGACTATTTATCACCACCAGCAGAAGGTAGATTTACATTACCAAATAAGTGATTGTAGACTCCGTTTACACATCCATACCATTTAAATGCATACAGCATACGTAATGGCCGAAAGATGCAGAAACCTTGGCTTTAGCACCTACCAGCAACGAAAGCACAATCTGTCAACAGCCCCTCGTGTGCAACTGTTCTGTTACTTTTCCTTGTGCCAGGTAGATGAAGCCAGTTTTGATACAGCACAATGTGCTACCATAACCTATTCCATTTTGCAGTGTAGGCACAGGCATTTCGGGCAAACTATTTAGTACAGTGACTTATTATCTTAACAGTTAATAGAAATGCAGCAGGCAATGATCTACACAGTGTGCACTGTAAGTACTGCTCCGAGTATGATTCTGTTCCTAAAACAGATTTAGAATGCGTATCTCTCAAGCCAAATAGTTCTAATAATAGAATATAGCAGCTTCTGGAAACATAAAAACTGCACCATCTCAGCTGTGTGAGCAGAGACAGCAAGTCCAACACCTCTGGGACATGTCCTGTTTTTTACTTTATCTATATCAACATTTTCAGGACATCAGCTTGCAAAAAAACCCCACTTTGAAACCAGTGGAAAGAATTTCCTTTGAACTTTCATATTGCATTAATAAAATTTTAAACAAAACCAGTTGCTCACCAAACACTTGGGAGTCTTTGTGGCAGTTAAATGAATTTACTCGCACAGCTAGGTTATCAGAACCTACACTGTATTCCATATAATACAAATACAGAGTAAAAAGAAATCTTTCTACTCCTGTGTATCTCTTATACCTTTCTAGGATCCCACTTGGGAACCTAACAATCCGACTTCCTTAGCATCTTCTTCTCTATTAAGGGTCATAAAAGATTATGCTGTTATCCATGCGAAATGTTAATGTTATGTTAATAATGTTAATGTTAAAGCAACAAAAGTCTGAGAGAAAATTAAAATACTCTTTATTTCTGAAAGGGTAATAAGAACTCAGAAAAACATTAACTGAGTAAGAAACAAACTGTTTTGTCTTCATCCAATGACTATTCCAGTGCACAAAATTTAACTCCATCAGCACATCGCAAATAATGTAGCAAATAACTGGAGTGTTTAGTTGCCAAATAAATACAAGTGAGTGCATCTGTTGCTCAAGACTTAATTGTTGGCACCTTGACAACATGCCAAGGCAGGAAAATATTTCCTTGGAAGAGACAGAATTGACTGACCTTAATCTTTCAGGCTACATTTTTTGGGGAACACTATCCCAGGTGCCCATTACAGTCCAACAAAATTTTTAATGAGTACAGCATCACTGAAAGGTTAGAACAACAGAAGGTAGAAACTTCCTACTGTAGTTTCAATGAATATTTCAACTCTCCATTTCCACTGGCAACAGACTAATATTTAAGAATAGTTTTGAAATTACTGAGGTCCTAAAAAATTACAAGGAAATTGAAAATGTCAAATTATACTAGGAGCTTCCAAAAATTTCTTTTTCAGGATGATTTAGCATTGAATCATATATACAAAAAGAATACTTACAATTCATTAAGTAACGTAATTGGTAGCAAAAATACATGTCCCTAACAGACTATGCCACAAAATGTTGCAACAGGTGTTCTGGAAATTACTTTGAACAGGTTAATACTTCGAACCAAAATCCTGACACCCACTTGTTCCTAAACAAACATCCATCAGCTGGTGAAGTAATGATCATCTTTCATTCTGTATCTGCTGGCTCTTGCCCCTTTCACATTATTGATATGTACAAATAAAACTGTACATCTAGTATTTTCTCCTGCATCTCACTGCTTTCATATCCATAATAATACAAAATTTGCTAGCTAGCAGGTACGTGCCTACTGCTGAACTTGCTAAACTAGCAGGCTTCTCCAAAAAGAGACTACAGATCACCAGTAATCATCTGCTGCCTGTAAGATAACTAACAGGCAATCCACATGGAAGAGAGAGGTTTAGGAGAATATCAGCTCAGGACAACGAAAACTACTTACAAGACAACATCCAGATGATTAACAAATAACTCCTACAGATAAAACACATTTCACACGATGAAAGGTAACAGCAAGGCATTTCAGTGCTTATGGCAATACATCAATTTGGTACAATGGCTCAGTGCTGGGAGGCAACAGCCTCCTGCTTTTCTGTTCCCACTGACTCTGAGAACCCTCTCTGCCCCAGACAACATCGCCCTCCTCACTTCTGAATTAATTGTTGGGTTAGGTCACCAAATTTTCATGCTCTTTGTGCCACACACTATGTATCACAACCCTTTACAGACACAACTAACTATACAAATCTTTTGTATGAAACATGTACACACTAAAATATTATCTTAAAACATCATAAAACTGAAATTAAAAAGTTGAGGCACAGAAACACAACAATTCTTGACTGAATCAAAAGTTTTTCATTTAGATACTACAAACCACAGCAGACAGCACGGACAAAATCACTGCTATTTTTTTTTAAGTTCCTACTAAGTTTTAAGAGACATTTACTGCTTACAGGACAATGTCAGTGTAAACAACTACAATGACAGTCGCAGAGCAGAACGCGTGCCTATCACGAGAGAATCTGGGTCAAAGCGGCAGTGCTATAAAACATCACCCACATTATCTTGTGCCAGAAGAAACACTGGAAAGAGAACAGCCTAGCAAGCAGCTGTTAGGCCAAAAATATCCAAAGTTTTATTTATTAAAAAAAAATATTTGCTCTAGGACATTATCCTTTGGCTCCTCTATCCCTAATTAAGGGGAGAATTTTATATAAGTAGTCTGTATTTTTCTTGTTTAATCACCACTGTCCTAATATGAATGAGATCTACGACAATGGCAGAGAAAATACAAGACAATGATTTACTAATTATTTCAACATTTTATCCTTAAAAGGTTACCCAGAAAAATCATTTTGTTATGCTAACGTTTATAGTTACTTAAAAACAACATAGTTTGAAATAAAAAGCAGAGTTCTCCTTATCAGGAAAAAACACTTGGTTTATATTGATAGTGCTGAAGGAGCACCAAATTAAGTTTTATTAAAACATAATTGCAGACTGCACATAAGCTGTTACAGTATGGAAAAGAATATACGTAGTTACCAGATTAAGAAGGGCAAAGTAAATCTTAGAAGAACTCTAGGGTTATTGTACTACTAAATCCACTGAAATCTGAAAAGTGTGACCCAATCTCCTTTTCATGTATGTGGCACGCTTTATGGAAGACTATTTTTAACATGTAAAACCCTACAGATGTATTATTCTCTTTCTAGTAACTGAACTGTGTCTCAGTGCAAAATTTTATAGTCTTAAAGAGGGGAAAAAAGAAACCATTTACAAGTCAACAATAAAATTGCCAGTTTTCAGGTCTCCTAGCTAGCAGTGTGGCCAATCAACATAGCATATCACCCATAAAGTTCAATACAGATGCAGATTTTTATACTTAATCTTGTCAAGACAGTGAAGATTTGCAAACGGACAGCTACTAACGAGATTTGTAACGGAATCCGAAGTCCACAACAATTTTGTTAATAGTATCATTAATTCACATGCTATATGGATATAGATAGGAGTACTTCATCCAGACACCGTAAACATGTAAGCAGATAAATTCAAGCAAACTCCATCTTAAAACAGACGTTTAAATAACTGCAACAACAGATTTTTGCAAATAAGTGAAATGACAAAAAATGAACACGCATGGAGTCATGTATACACATACGTACACACCGTACGCGTGCATGCATAACAGCTCTTAACAATAATCCTTAGAAATACTTCGCATGGCTCAGACTCCGGATAACTTTTCTTACCATTAACACTCGATAGGTTTAAGAATCTTACTGGGGACATCAACAGGCTAATTTTTCATCCAGGAGATAGGAGTTTTATAGCAGATTTGAAAACTTGAACAGAAAAAAGAATGCCGCTGTGCCTAATCTTGGGAAGAGGGGGTGACAGCCAACAAGATCTGGCATTTTCCATGCCTGAGGAATCTTACACGTACATATAGTCTGAAAAGCCCAAAACTGAATTTTGACCACAGGCCACAATGCTAAACTATGAAAGCCTCCTTCAAAGCCATTAAGTTTTCCCTCTATTTAAAGGCTCGGATGGAACTGATGAAGTAGTTTTTTCTACCCTTAGAATACAGCAGTGTTAGCTTTCCACATTGATTTACAAACACAAAAAAAATCCAAGATTAGTACTTTGGCTCCATTGTAGCGACCTGTACCAGGAATCTACAGCCCAGTAAAATGAACTTTAAAAGGCCAAACAAAGCAAAGGTCTAACCTCTTTCCAAAGGAAATAATTTAGAAATAAAAGATTTCTAAATAAAAGGAGGAAGAAAAGTCCAATACACTCACCAGGCGTGTATTAACAACAGGAAACAGCAATGCCAAGAGGGCCCCATTCAGCATATGCATCTGCAACCTTAGAAAAGTGATGTGATATTATTTTCAGAGATGGAAGTAAAATGTCATGTTTTCACATATCTTATGTAGTATCACTTCAATAAAAGGTAGCAAGACGTTTAAGAAAATTCTTTTGGCTTGAATTTGGATAAAGCCACTGTTAAATGCAATAACCAGGACAAAACCCTCTCTTTAAATACACACTTAAATAATTTCCTAAAGTAGGACTGCTTTCTATAATGAGCTTTGGATTCCTAGAAAGCCTGGACTGCCCGTTTGTGTTAATCCTGTTCATGATGCAAGCTGCTAAAGAGTTGGAATTTTGCCGTTCATTTGTCTTTCACAGCTTAAAATAGCCTATTTGATAAAGGTTTTTACTCCTGTCTAACTCTATAAACATACAGCTTCAAAGTAAAGCTTCAGCAATTTGGAAGTCTGTTAAATAAAATAATTACATTTGTCAAAATGCAACAGTAAGTCCTAAGCAAAGAATAAGGCAGGAAAGTAGTATTATAATACTGTATTTTGTATAGCTTTCAGCCATCTTTTTCTGAACCACTGTTGCATCACAAGAACTAAAAACAGTATCAGTACTGTTTCAGTCTACTTTATATCAGACACAAAGTAGACTAAACAGACTACAACCACTAACTGTCATAAACTGTTAGGAATTTAAAAGTAACTGAAGGCAGCAAAAGGGCAAAATTTTAAAACCGGTTTTCAAAAGTGATTTTGTACGCTGTCAGGGTGTTAGAAAACAAAAAGGCTCATTCTGCAAAACAACAAATATTGTGGTCTCCACTCTGCAACCAGTCTTTTGCAAATGCAAAGTAAATCCAGGATTTCCTGGACACCAGGCACTCTTTTCACACTCTCTGAGATGGAGATGCTAACCCAGTATCTCTGTATTCAGCCCGCTCCCCACCCAGATAAGGAACAGCAGGAAAAAGTTGCAGACAGACAGTAGCAGTTCCAAAACAGTTCATGTAGCATGCCCCCAGCATCATTTTACCAGTCACTGCCGAGACTAAGACAAGAAAGAGCTAGGTTAACTGTCACGGTGGCAATTACAGCCACTCCTGATTACCACTCTGCGTGGAAGCCCCATCACCCTCCCCATGATGAGACCAGTTACCCCCCTCAGCTGCTTACTGGACTCTACTGCAGTAGTCTGTTAGAGCTCCCTGCACATTAGAAACTCTCGTGGTTCCTACAGTTAGTAACAATACACAGTATTTTAGAAAAGACTGCATAGGTTGAAAAATACCCCAGTCAGCAAGAAGTTGCCTTCACTATTTACCTTATATCCACAATTTTAAAACTGGACCCATACTGTATGCACGTCCTTCCATGAATCCCAGTCACTAATTTTTAGAGGGGATAATAAAAAGGTACAAGGGACATGACATCAATTACACAAGCCCATACATTAATCCGTAGAAAGACGCCTGCCTTCTCATCTGTTACTGAGCTAATCCACATTGCTAAGTGAGGCCAAAACCACCAGTACAAAAGAACCAAGAGTATGTGGCTCAACACCCATGATTTAAGCCCTGACCCTTTTCAGGGTGTCAGTTTTCAATCCAACCAATACGCTTTTCCAACTGGATATATATCTTAATATTTTATGACTTAAGCTGTGATTAATTTCTAAAATACATTATGCAAGTAGACAGAAATACAGTAAGGAACAGACGTTACCTGAAGAGAATCATCGCAGTCCGACACGGAGGGCAGGCAAGAAGAAAAATCTGAAATGTTAGAAACATATTTAAATTAATTACATGATCTCTTTTAGACTCCATTTTCTATATCCTTCTGTCCCGGTTCTGTATCTCACAAATCATTTCTAACCAGAACCGTTTTACAGCAGAGCTAGAAAAGAGTAAAAATCTTGAACAAATTAAAAGGTATCATATTACCTATATATAAATGGATTTAAGCAGTATGAGCAGCACCTAGGGTTTGGCTTCTGCCAGTGCCTAAGAAACAAGTCAACTTTTAGCCTGTTTGATTTTGCCACTATAAAAGGTCATACAGAACTCTAATAAAGGCATAGCAAGAAAAAGGCAGTGATCAAATTTAACTAAATGTACGCCAAGATATTTTCTTAGTGAATACTGTTAAAAATCCAATCAGAGTTTCTCCGAAATCTTCTATTTAAAAAGCCAGTCATTTCAACTCATGAGGGCAGGTTAAAGAGGAAGAGAACGTAACAGATGCATGATGACAATCCAATAATGGATGCTTCTTTGTGCTAAGAAAAAAAAAAGTATATGCCAGAAAAATCTTATAAGGTCTATATATCACCTTGCACATAAGACCCACATGGCTTCTGGGAAAAGTGTCTAATGTTTCACTATGCTTCACTATTCCATCGTTGTATATTTTTGCAATAAACTTTGTTTACTAACTAAACTAAAGTTCCTTGAATTATGGACTATATTTTCCCTACTTTGGAGACCATAAATATCTTCTACAGGTCTCTTATAACAACTGTTTTTTCCCTCCGTGTTACTTGCATTCATTAATCAAACTTTTTAAACACTCCATGTTGTATGTTAGCAAAAGGAGATATGATATTTAGAGTCTCACTGGTTCATCCAGAAT